CATGCATTGCACCCCGTTGGCGAGAAATGCATCCAAGGAGCCCCAGTCGCCGCCCCCGTCGGGAGCCAGAGCGGGAAACGCGGAGCCCCCGGGGGGCAAAGCCGGCGTGGCGCCGGTCTCCCCTGAGGAGGAGAAAGTGGCAACGAAGGGGAAAGGCTCCTCTGGCCCCAGCGCCCGGAAAGGGAAAGGGCAGATTGAGAAGAGGAAGCTGAGGGAGAAGAGGCGCTCGACAGGTGTGGTGAACATCCCGGCCACTGAGGTGAGAGGCGGCTGTGCGCGGAGGGCGGGAAAAGCAAGAGGAACGGTTGGCCTGCGGGGGGGGGGAGGAAGGTTACGCCTCCATTTTTGAACCTCAAGCTGCACCCGAGGATACCTGAGGTGGCTTCTCTGAGATATCCTGAGACTCAAGCGTCTGGCTGAGGAGTTTGCCCCTGAGTGCTTGGTGCTTCAGAAGTACAGCCAGAAGGGACAGGACAGAAAAGGGGAGGAAACGAAGCTGAAACTACTGAAGGCTGCAAAACCACAAAGCCTTTCATTCCAGGATAATTGGGACTGAGGGCTCTTATGCTACTCTGGAGCCAGTGGTTTGTGGCTGACAGCAAAAACCATGTAAACAGAGCTGTGTGGCTTTAGCTGTGTGTGAAGAGCAGAAGACCTTGTGGGTTGCTTCTTGGAAGGAGCATCCTTTCAAAGGTCATCACAGTTGCAAAGCAGTTTTGATTTTTCTTTATTAATATGTAAGGCAGAGTGGTAATCCCTGTGGAGCTGCTTTGGAGAGAAGGACAGCCCTTTTAAGTCACGTATCACTTTGAGATGCTAACCTTAAGCAACCTTAGAAGGCAGCTGCGATGGTTTTGTGTGCTTATTGGGCTTTTAGAAGTGAAATGTGGTTACAGTTCTGTGGGATTTCTGTTTTGATAAGTAACAGCTTTTGTAAGTTCTTTTAACAAAAAAATGTAGTTCTCTATAGAGATAAGTACTGTACGAGTCAAACTATAGAGGCTTGTTCCAAACAATCATGAAATTGTAACCTATTCTAAGTTAGTTTTTCTTTTTTTATGTATAACTTGGCTTGCCCGAATCAACAGAGGAACATAGACAGAGGCCAAAGGAAAAGGGGAAAAAAATGCAAAAATGCCATTATTCACATAACTTATCTTTAAAAAAGGAGTGAAGAAGTTTGAATATTGGAGTGGACCTGTCAGAGATGTTTTCTCCAAATAATGGTGATTATGTTGTTGTTGTTTTTAAAAAGCCCATAGACTTTTATTGGAAGAAGAACATTGAGGAAGAGGCCTTAGTTCAGGTGTCAATGTCATGTCTTTCTGAATCTAAAGCAGTTTCTTTCATTGGAAAAATGCAGTGGTTTGGAGAAGGGACAAAAAGATCTTTTTGTTAGCCAATACAGTGGTTGGGTTTTGTTTTTTTTTTTTTGCTAGTGTTCTACTACCAAAATCTGGCATTGATTTAAAATGCTTTTAAAGGAATGCAAAAGTATGATAATAATATCTTCACTCTTTTTAAGCTGAGAGGAGGAATAATATTTAGGAGACAAAATCTACAACAGATCTACACAGACATTTTCTCAGAAAGGCTAGGCACCCTAATACTGTAGGACAAAATAGGCCATAAAGCTAAGTGCCTCCCCCTTTGTTGGAATGCAAGATAACTTTAAATTATTTTCTTAACCTGAACTCACCTAATTCTTTTTGTGACTGTGTAATTACAGTATATCACATTTATCAGGAGCTTGCTCAGGTGAGGAACATAATAAGAAGCCATGAACTAAGGCACAACTGTTTGTCAGTCTAGCCTGGTGTTGTCAAAGTAAAATGGGAGCCACACTGGTGTTTTGGCTAAAGGTCTTCCACATAATTTTCTACCTTTTTGTTTTAACCTTTTTGTTTTAACTGGAGTGACTCCTGGGCTTTCTCTATATAAAGAATGTGTTCTATTGTTGAGCTACACTGTTTTCCTGAGTAACTGTATGGAGCAGCAGCAGTGAGAGCTGATTCTTGTTCTCAGTTGTAGGAGCTAATCCTACAGTCTTTCATAATCTACTGTCAAAGCTCATGTTCCCTGATTGAGGTTGCCCTGTGTCATCAGGCATTGCTTGGTCAGTGGAGCTAGGTCCCTTTACAAGTTGCAACATGGAAGATAAAAACATCTTGAGGCAAGTCTTAACCTTAAAATTTCATCCATAATTTTTATTTATAGTTTTATATTTGAGAATTATTGGTTTTTCAAGATACTTTGTGGAAGAAGAACACTGCCATATTCTGTAGTGATCCCAAACTTCTTAAATGTGCCCCTGTACATTTATTTATTACATACAGTGATATTCTGCCTTGCCTTCAGTGAACCCAAGGTGGCATATATGACTCTTGGTCCCCTCCATTTATCATCAGAGATAATTTAAGCAGAGCCAGTGTTTTTGGCCTGAATTGCTCAGGGAGTTTCATAGCTCTCTACAGACTGGCAAATCCAATGCTTACTACTGCAGCACATTGACTGTCTAGTTTACTTTCAAGGGCTGTTCACCATTTGTTTACAAATTCATGTATGCAACAGGGTGTGTTCTGTTGTTGGGTACAGAATATGGATCAGGACAAATTATTATTATAGGTGATAATAACCATGCAGCCTGCTTTTCTCATAATCTTTAGCTACTTTATAGATCAGTGCTGAAGGAAAAGCAGCTTCTTCATCGACTTACTTGAATGAAGAATTTCCATTCAGAGTATCGAAAAGGGATTCATTCATAGAGGAGGACTATATTTCTGCTTTGCATCCCACTGTGTCTCAGGGGATTACATTCTTACTTCACTCTAATTTTGGCAGTGAGGACACAGGCCAGAGTAAAATGGAATAATGATGATACAATTGTAGCTTATTTAAGCATATAATAAATTTTCACTGTTTAAAAATTTGTGGCCCTCCAGATGTTGGGAGTGCAACTGGCATCAGTACTAGATAGAATGGCAAGCAGTGAGAGATTATGAGAGTTACAGTACAACATCTGGAGGGCCACAAATTGCCAGTAACTGGGATGAAGGATATAGGGGGTGAAATTCATTGCCGTTTTTTATTTAGATTACAAATAACTGGGCAACTTTAAGGAATGTTCAGTGATTGCGTTGGCAGCCCATGATCCAGGTAGTGGGAAGAAGTAGAGTCCTGCCATCTGATCTGTGAGCCGCTACAATTGGTGGAACAGAGGTCTGCTTGTAGGACCAGTCTTCTTTTCCCAAAACATCTCTAATGCATTGTGGGACTTACCAAGCATTGTGAGGTGTATCTGACAGATATGCGTATGTGGAGGGGTGCAGTAGCAAGGGGAAATAATGTGCTATTGGACGGAAGATCTGGAAGGACAGCAAGGTAAGCTCATGCAAGAGTTCTTGATTGGTTAGAGACAATTCCATCCTTACCACTATCTCAAGCAAACTGCTGTGCTCTTGCAGAATTTGCTGCAGTTTCTGGGGACTGCTTCGTCCATCTTGTTTTTTGTATGATGGCATCATGCCCGTTGATGTAAGTGGGCTTCCTGCCTGACACAGAAAGAAAAAACACATTGGATCAACTATACTACAAATGTGGATGCTTATTTCTTACAAATAACAATGGTAAAAGCCTAGCTTGTTTAAACCTCCATTAAATATATACAGTACTGTTTTAAATGAGTGTTTATCTTTCACTTCCAATGTGTTTTAAGACCACTTTAAATATGGCACACAAGTGAAATATAATAATAGCTCTAAGGAAAAGTAATACTTGCTAAGAGAAGGAAGAAACTAGCTAAGGAGACTTTGATGTATTATTTATTTGGAGCACCTTACCTACAAACTAAAGCTTTTGATGTGGCTTATGTCATATTTAAAATACAATACCGTAGACAAGAAGTGGTTTTTTTTTATGGTGATTGTGGGGAGGTATCTTCTGTATCTTCTCCCCACCCTCAGCTCTGTGGTTCAGTCATTTTTTGGCTACTGTTCTGTGTTGAACCTCTTGCCTACACAGATCTTGAAAGTCACCTGTGTCTGCTTATTTTCTCACAGTGTGGGGTGTTGTTACCCAGGCTGCTATGACTTCCACTTTATGGCTACTGATGGCAGACATGAGGTTCTGAAGGTTGCAAAGTTTTTTTTTTCAAACATCTTACAGTCCTCTGTTATTTTAACTCAATGTTTTTCTGATTATGATTCAACTCTTTAATGGGAGGAGAGAACACTCCTTGTGCTGCTGCTTATTTTAAAAAAAAATACAGTATCTTTCTTGATGGAATATCACAGGGTATTTCTACATACTGAGCCTTTTATTTTACAAAGGTACAAATGCAGCATATAAAAGCAACTGTTTTATGTCTTTATTTCCTCTCCTTCAGGAATAGCTGCATTAGCTTTTTTTTACAGCAAAACAAGGATAATACATAAAACCACCAGCATTTACAGGTTATAGTGCACTTCTTCAGAGGTGCTCCCCTCGCTGTCTCATCTCTAGATCCAGAACTACTTTATTATGAGCCACTTTTTGTTGACTGAGTCAAAATTTTCTCTTACCTCCAGTAAACAGGTTTTTCCAGCCTTGTTTAAGTAAAATGGTTGCTCATGTGTTATCCTTCTTCACCTTCTGTTTTTGTACTGGTTGTAAAATTAAAATCACAACCTGCACTTCATTGTTAAAGTGACTTCTGTATGTATTTGGCTTGAATATTTCAAGTCAATAAACAATACTGATAAAGTTTAATAGCCATTATGAGCAGTTTCATAACATCTCTGTAATTTAAGAAATACATATTCTTGTTAAGAAGGGACACTTCGTCTGACTAAAATAATTTCCACTTTTCAAAGTAGATGCTGTCAGTAAAGGTGTTATTCCACTTCTACACAATCAGCAGTCAGATAGTCAAGTGATATATGTTGGGGATCACCTATCAATTTTTCATTTGTAAGGTTGTGCTGCATCGTTGAAAGAAAGCACATCAGAGTATTTTAACTGAGAGTAGAAACAGAAGCAGCTTCATTACAGACATAATCAGCCCTGATGTGACCAGTTGGATTAGACCAAAAGCTGTGTTAGCCAGCATTCTGTCTCCAGTAGTAGACAGCTAGATATCCTTGGGAAGCAAGTTATGAAAGTGATGCCCATTCCCTGCTTTTATTCCCAGCATTTGTTACACAGATTTGTGCAGTCCACTGTCATTGATATTAATTCCATTTGGAGAAAAGCAATATTTATAAATGCATATTACTGTATTAA